ATGAGAGACAGAGAGCACGAGAGGGAAGAGGGTCAGAGGGAGAAGCAGACTCCCCGCTGAGCAGGGAGCCCGATGCGGGACTCGATCCCGGGACTCTAGGATCATGACCTGAGCTGAAGGCAGTTGCTTAACCAACTGAGCCACCCAGGTGCCCTCTTTTCTTTTTTTAAAAATTTATTTATTTTTAAGTAATCTCTACACCCAACGAGGGGCTCGAACTCACAACCCTGAGATCCAAGAGTCACGTACTCTTCCAAGTGAGTGAGGCAGGTGCCCCCAGGCCTGATTTCTTATTACATACTTTAGATCTAAGAGGGACACTGGGTGTCAAGAGAAACTGAAGAATGGCTGCTCCTCTGACCAGGACAACACAGATCTAATGTTTAATTCTCAAGATGCTGTATGACAGCATCATAAGATGCCGCCGATGACAATGATGTATGATAAGGGAGTACAGTGAAATGAGACAGTAAAGAATAAAAACTATGTTATATAGTATGAAAATAATAAAAGTAGGAATTGTGTTTGGGGAGCATAAATGAGAAATAAATGACTTAAATGTTGAACTGCTGGCAGAATACAGGTTTAGATCAAGACGGGAAGGGGTGCCTGGGTGGCTCAGTCGTTAAGTGTCTGCCTTCGGCTCAGGTCATGGTCCCAGGGTCCTGGGATCGAGCCCCACATCGGGCTCCCTGCGCTGCGGGAAGCCTGCTTCTCCCTCTCCCACTTCCCCTGCTTGTGTTCCCTCTCTCGCTGTGTCTCTCTCTCTGTCAAATAAATAAATAAAATCTTAAAAAAAAAAAAAGACGGGAAGAGCGTCATTACATACAAACATTGAAAGGAAGCTGCAACTAAAGTCAAATACGAGAGCCAGTTCCTGTCGGAGAATAGTGGCAAACGCTTGGCCCATGAGAGGTTAGTATTGTGCAGCCAGTGGAGGCCCACGTGAACTGCCTGATGTCTGACACGGAGCCTCGTTAATGCTCAGTGTTGGCTCTAACCTCAAAACGCATCTTCTTGGTATGTGGGCATTTCGATTTGCAGGAACAATCAGCAAAAATAAATATGGACCCGAAGTCATTACCTCTAAGAATTAAACAACTCTCTAAGTCAGAGTTCATAACATTTTTTTTGCCTCAAGATACGTGAGAGATGGGGCGCCTGGGTGGCTCAGTCGTTAAGCGTCTGCCTTCGGCTCAGGTCATGATCCCAGGGTCCTGGGATCGAGTCCCACATTGGGCTCCCTGCTCGGCGGGAAGCCTGCTTCTCCCTCTCCCACTCCCCCTGCTTGTGCTCCTGCTCTCGCTGTCTCTCTCTCTGTCAAATAAATAAATAAAAAATCTTAAAAAAAAAAAAAAGATGTGAGATATACACGGAGGCATGGCTCCCTCACCCTGGCAGTGATTCTCCACCGTCACGTAATCCTCTGGTCAGAGCACTGGTTAAGAATCATAGCTCTGAATGAATGTCTGACAGCTAGTACCAGAAATCAGGTTTGAAAACTCATTCTTTTGCAAACTTTATGTGCTTTTGTGAAGAAAGTTAGGAATGTGGGATACCTTGTCACCATGGCCCAGGTTCTCTGATTTAACCTCATATAAAGTTTTCCAGTTGGTGTTGCTCCCTCCTGTTCCTCCACTCTTTAGATCAGAGATGGAAACACCATCTAAGGCTTGTCCTTCTGAGTCAAACCTGAAAAATAAACAAAGAACGACAGGTACTTTATATATATTTATTGAATATATTACTTGTGTCTAAATGCCAGATACAGGCCATCCACACCCCCAACCCCCTACTCATCCAACTTTCATAGGTCATGGTCACGTGGGCTGAAATTAGTATCCTCCTTGTATCTTAAGCCAACTGCAGCAAGGGAATGACCTCTTTTCATCTCAATTGCTTTGATGCCCCCCAGTGGTCAA